CCTCCATTTCCTGGTCTATATTCTCCTGTTGAAAGTTGTCTATGTCTGTGATTATTACTGTGGTGACTTAAAACACCGTTAACACACTACACTCCATAGGATATTACTGGTAAATCACTGATTAACTTTGTTTAGTAATTGACTACTGAGCAATATAGCTTCTTCATCCTTCCATTATCTAACAGTAGGAACTGGAACAAAAGAATATGGGTTCCATCGTAAGGTATTCTTAAAAATGATTTGCTAGGCTACACTTTTCGCATATTTTACAGTAGGGCAGTGAAAATGGGTTTTAAAATAGTGTTTACAACTAGTAAACATTCATGGTGTTATTCATAGCCCCATTAATAAAAGAATGTCTAGATTCTGACTCATCGGTGGCCAATAATGGATCTACTTCCTGGCTCACAAGCGCTGACCATTGGACCAGATTAAACTAATCCCTGAATCCTGTTGGTAGCTCTTAGTGCAACAAAAGTGAGAAACTTCAAAATCTTAGACTACAGGTCCCCATCAATGGGCCCCATTTAGGTAATTTTCTAATCAGTAATAAGGTTTGGAGCCAGGTTGTACTTGTTATAAGTATATCAATCTTGCTGCATAAAATATTTTGAAAGAGACCCAATAGATGTATCAATCATGCTGCAGGTCTTCTTTTTTTTTTCTATGTGATAAATTCTAAATCCCAGATTGCTGACTTTTCTCAAATCTGTAAATCCTGGACCACAGGTTGTTCTAATTGGAACAGAACTGGGTAATCTACTAATCTGTATCTTAAATCCACTGTCCAAGACCTTCAGTGGCCAGAATTTAAACAGATCTCGCTATCGACATTGATTTTTCATTTACAATTTGTCATGAAATCACATTTACCTTCTAAATTCTCCTGTTCTAGACACAACTACAAGAATTACTCCATGGAATCCCGCACACATTTCAGGATCCAGGACGCCTTGCAGCAAGCCAGATCGGTTCCACAAAATGGATGCAGTTGACTTCTGTGAATTCCAGTTCTATTTATTGTTTGTGATGTCAGTGGCAAAGACTGTGTCTGAAGTGGGTTAAAATATTGGTGGACATACAAAACAAACTTTTTAGGCTGCAGCATTAATAGTTTTATCACTTGGATGAGTTTGGTTTGGCGTCAACCTTGTAGGATTTTCACAAAAGGTCTTTTTCCAAGCTTGCCCACTTTTCCCGCCTGATTTAATTTTTAAAATTGTCACTACATTTTACTAGTGAAAACATTTAATGAAAGCAAAGATTACCAGGATGATTTATAATTCCCCCAATCTCTCTAGTGTGGAGATTTAGCAATGTGAGTGAACGCCAACGGCTCTTTAATCAAACAAAAATGTAGAAAATGTGTTTTTAGCTCATAGGCAAAATGATTCAGGACTGAAATTGAAAACAACAAACCATTTAAAATACAAAAAGTGCTTATTCTGCAACAAAAGGAATGTCACAGACTCTACATCTACACAGTGATCAGGAATCTTACTTAAAGGGCCAGAATATTAAAATGTAATAAAATGTATGCAGTAAACATTTTATATGTCACCTGTGCCCTGTCACCAATGATCTATGTGGTTAAAGGAGTTCAATCTCACTCTTGATCAATCTGCAAGCTAATTAGATTTCCTAGATTGATTCCAAACCTCACTGACTACGTGGGAACTCCTAGCTGATGTAGTAAGATGGTCATTAACACTCCGCTAGGTAGGTCTGATCCCTTATGGTTTCCTTAGACACCTAATCATACGTATTGATGAGGAGAGAGAGAGAGAGAATATATATTTATAGACTGCAGTGTGCAGAGGTTCATGTCATGCCCATTAATGTGTAGTAACAAATGAATGGTCCAGGAAAACAAGATGGATCTGGCAACCCTACTCTTGGTTGTTTTGCTATAAACATTTGGAAACTTAGAGGAAAAAAAACCCCCACAAGTATAGGCATTTTTTTCTACTTTAAAAATAAAAATCTAAGGGTTACTTATAATAGGCTGTGTTTCTGTAGAGAGGAATCAATGTTTAATACAACGTATCCACCTTCAATGAGCACCCCTGGCTGGTAGATGTTAGATAGGTTATAATTAGTTATGCTAGAGATTTTAGGTTTAATTTTTTTCCTTCCAAACCTACAGGGTTTCCTTTTTGCAGGTCTATGTGAGTTGTAGTTCAGCAGTTAACTTTGTGCATCACAAATCTCAGAAACTTCTTGCGTGCCCAAGCACTGCTCTGGGGAATGAGCTCATCGGTTCTACAGAAAATGAGCACCAGGAGTGGCTGAGTCACTTCCTGGTGTGTTAAAACTCACTGCAGAAACTGGATAGCCAGAAGATTTGTCACAATTGCAGGACTTCAACTTTTAACCTTTTTTATTTTTGTAAAAAATTTTTTCATGCATTATGCTCATAGGCAACAATAAATGCCCTGTACCAGTAATTCTAAAAGGTGGAGACACTGCTTCTTTATACTGTAAATCCCTTTATTCCACACGATGTCAAGACTAGCAAGATCTAAAAAGGGATAGGACTACTCTTTGCTTCAAGGGGTTAAACATTTGGCTTCATAGTTTAATTCAGTGTTATAAAGAAAGCCACTGAATGAATAATAATGAATGTTTTCTTTTATTTCTCTCTACCCAGCAGACAGAAATAAAAATGATAGTCAAACAGCTACAGATTAGACCCCTCTATCCAGAAAGCACTTAACACAGATGCTACCAAGCAGTGTGTATTTTCTGTGCCCTCGTACCTCAAAAGAATGGTAGATTAATCAAATAACTAGTTTGACTTAAATCTAGCGATTTTCTGGTGAAAACCCAAGAACAGTCATAAAGTGTCCCAAAACCCAACAACTAACAGCTGAGTCCGTGGGGGTCTGGTCCTATAAATGCAAAATCTGTTGCAAGCTGAACACCAAGTGCTTACTGATAGTAGTAGTAAAAAAAAATGGAGGAATCTGGAATAAAACTTTACATCTAAAATCGGTTTTAATTTTTTTATAACCAGTAGACAAACACCAGTAAAAAGCCGGGGTGCCCAAAAGGTAGACCCCCTGATGTTGTAGAAGTACAACTCCCATTAAGCGTTAGAATGACAAAGCACCATGGAAGCTGTAGTTTTAAAACACGTGGAGGTCTACCTTTCGGGCACCCCTGCAGTCAAGGCTTCAGGCTTTGTAATGCCAACCTGATGTGAATTTTAAACTGGTCTACATGGAAATGTTCTCTTCAAGAAGAAAAATGCTTCGCCATTGAAGTTTCTGTAGAATTTTGTCTACCTGCGTATACCAGTTGACATTAGGATGATTATTTTCTTTACCATGGTAGATTTCTCGCTAAGCATGGTCTCCAAGAGTGATACTGTTCCAGTTTATTAGCTTTATCTTAAGGTGTACGTAGTTTAAGACCAACCTAATTTCTGCATTACAGAAAACGTCAAAGCAGTACGAACATTTTTGAATGTAAGCATTTGGTACCTTTAAACGTACGGTAAGGTTATGATCTTCTGGGATATATTCAGGTTTATTCAAAATCTGTTCTTTTCTGGAACACCTTTCCAAAAACCATCCTGTTCCCTCCAGTCCTAAAATTACCAAACTGTGGATAGTAAACATTCAGTAAACATGCCTGGGTACACTGGTTTCTAGATCATGGTGGACACGGTAATTTGGAGGGTGTTAGAGATCTGAAGACAAAGAGGTAGACCCATACATTGAATTAATCGTTATAAGCCACTCCTTATCCTGACATCCAGAAACCTGGAGAACATTGATAATTTTTTTTTTACATTTTGTATATGGGTTACTTGCAGAAACTTTGCGAGAAAGGGAATCCTATTTTTTTTTGTAAATCACACACATGCCTGGTTTCTGCACCCTGCTATTTGCCTGTACAATTCCCATAGGGCTTTGTCAGCTTTGGAGGAAAGGGAAAATGTGAGTTTTATGGACAGCTGTGCTTTGAAGTATCTGCTAGTGAACTATAGAACCCAATACCAACTTCTCAATCAAAATCAACAACATAAAACTGGTCTGTAGGCTGAAAAGATCATGTACCAAAAAAAGAAAATAGTAACCCCCTCCCTTTTTTTTCTCTTTAACTAAAGATGGCCATTTTTAACTGCCTACATGCTGGGTGGCTTGCGTAGAGTGTAATACATCTTTTTACGTCAATGTATTATCATTAGGCTATTACCAAGTGGGGCTTGAGGCTCATACCCGTTTCAGACACAGAGTCAATAGGATCAATCACTTGTGCCTCTAATTCTGCATTCTCATCAAACTATAACAAGAGATAAGAGGCCCAATGTCATAAACAGAAGCAAGGACGCAGCTTAACCCTTCAGGCTGGAAGGATTTGTTTTGCCAGGACGTGTTAGAATTTTATGTTTTTGTTTTTTTTAAATCATTTGTATGACATGTTTCAGAACAAGAAATTTGTCTGTATTTTTGTATTTGTTGAACAAAATAAATAGCAAAAGAAAAAAAAATTGAAACAAAGCAAAACTAAATTTGTGTTTTTTCCCCCCCACTTATGGCAGAAAGCTGAGAATATGTAATGATGGATGAAAGTATGATCTAAAGGAGAAATGCTGCAAGGTATTGAAGGGAAAAAATAAAATGGTAGAGCATTAATAAGGCACTCACAATCTATACATTGGGGTTACATAGAATTATGCAGAGAGAGAGAATATGTGCGTGTCCACGCTTTCTGCTCCTCCCTGCAATGTTTCCCATAATTGCTTTCAGGATACTATGCCACTGTCCTTATTTAGTTCCCTAGTGTCCCACATCTGGGTACACCAGAAACTAATCAGGCAGCACAGTGCGAGCACATAATTACATAAGCTTGCGCTGTGAAGCAGGCACTGTGTCACTGAATGGTCCTGCAACTAGGGGGGCTGCTGGAAAGCTGGTTGTCATTGATAGGCCCGCCTATTGTGAGTGTTGCCAGTGACGCAAGTTGTGTTACTTGCGATGACTCCTAGAAGCCCACCCGTCCCCGTTACAGGCGATCCAATGATGGGAGGTATTGGGAGCATTATTCATTAAAGTGAAACTCCAAAGTAAATTCACAGTGAATTTGAAATTTAACACATAACTGGACAGCAAAATATCGTACTCCGCTATGTTTCAAGTTCAGCTACCGTATATACTTGTGTATAAGTCGAGAAATGTCCGTCGTAAACGTCATTTTAAAATGCAGCGTCGACTTATCTGTGGGTCAGTGCTAGATAGAATTTCGACTCCTGAACGCCGTTCTCCTAGCTGTTCGGGAAGTCAAACGGTCAGGAGTACAAGTTTCAGCTTGGTTCTCGGGTTTGCGTAGCCGACTCTAACATCCATGCCGTCGACGACCATGTACCGCTGCCTGCATTCAGGAGAAAAGATTGTTTAAACACGTGCGTTTGTATATACAAATGGCGGCCACCCAGGGAATGCTCGTTTGTGGTTAACATCCAGGAGTGGTCTGTGATTACAAGGTGTTAACAAGGGGAACAATTCCAATCGATTGCAGTACCCTCGACTTATCCACAATTCATAGTATATTTGGCAATTGTTGGTCAAAAAACTGCACTCTACTTATAGACGAGTATATACTGTACTTTATCTTTAGTGAACAACCCTGAAAGTGGTTAAACGGCCTTTTCCCCGAGCCTTTTAACCTATTTTTTTTTTTTTTAAATGCAGTAGAATTGCTCATTTTAGTGGACATTTCTCTACATTCACACTATAAACAAACAATGCTTGTGTATCTATATTTCATAAGTATTAGAGGTTACCAGGGCTTTCCAACGTTTCCATTTAATAGTTTTTGTCTATCAATTAAAACTTGTATTCCCTTTGCATATCGTATATTAGACAGACTGTTAGTACTACATAAAACAAACAGCCTCTAATAGGCAGGAATAGCAAAATGTAACAATTGCATTTCTAAGTAATTTTGGTGCTTGGACCAGGGGATAGTGTCATTTTAAACTTTTGAAAATAGTTAATCAGATGCATGAATTTCAACGTTAGAAGAGATAAATATTTTTTTTCTTACCAGGGAATTCTCCCCCTATTACATCCATCTTTTATACTTGGGAAGATGTAAAAAATAAAAGTGTATCTAGTACCAGACAGACTGTTTTATAACAGGTTGTATGAACAATTTATAACTTAAAAGTGTAATGTGTATCAGATCTTAAGTATGGGACATAACCCCACTTATGTCACCTACATGTAAATATATTAGGCTTGGAACTTAACCAGATGTCTGAGGACCACCCCTAAGTAAACAGGAACTTCAGTGTTCAGTTTTTTTTTTTTTTAAAACACTTTTTTTAATGTGCTGTTTTAAAAGGTCAGTGGTTTTCTCTAGAATGTAAGCTCATTGAGCAGGGCCACCTCTCTGTTCCTGTACATTGAGTTGTCTGGTTACAATTAAATGTCTGTTAGTCCACCCTTTGTACAGCGCTACAGAATCTGATGGCACTATATAAATAATAAGAATAATAAAGGAAATAGATTTCCTGCATTAGTCTGAGTATTTTTAATTGATGCACAGAGTAAATCTCTTCTCAGTGCAGTCAAAAGCATCAAAGACGATGTGCAATTGTTACTGTCAAAGCAGACTCTGGTAGTGGTGGTGTGATGCTTACTCATGGCATTACAACCACAAATAATCTAGTTGTTCCCTGAATGGTCTTCATTTGGACAAGCAGTGCTTCAGATCAAATAAGACAAAGACTGCAGTGGAGGTGCACAAAGCAAAACCAAACTGATTAAGAAGACAGACCAAAGGGGAATTGGGGGCACACCCTGAACATGCATTTCAAAGTAGTGCTGCTGTAAAGACCAAAATCTATACAAAATACAAACTAGGGAACAGCACGCACACAAGAAATACAGTATTACAGTTTACAAGGCTACTTAAGATCACCTATCTTAGCAAACATATGGGGATTCAGTTACACCATATGTAACTAGACCAGACCAACCAGACTGTCCCTTTAAAAGGGGACTGCCGATATAACAAAAAAGAATGCATCAGATCAATAAATTGTGAATCCCGATGGGATCTGCTACTGTAACTGTGTTCGGAAACCTGAATCTCAAACTGGTCAGTGCAAAATACTTGATATAAAAATAGAAATGATGTAATGTCAAAACAAAACTAATGTAATCACAATAGTCAAGCTGGAACAAATACTTTGATGTCAGATAAGAGCCATCTGGCCCGTTTAATCAGTCCACTCTTCTTCCAATTATAAAACTTACAATCTTCCTTGATCCTTGACCTTGCATATCCAGGCCATATGTCTATCTTATGTGTGGTTAAAATCCCTGAGCGCTGGAAGATTTGCCAAGTCTCCACATCTCAAGTAAAAAGAAAAATAGAAAATAACACCTATTTATTTGTAGAAATCTTTCAGTGATGCAGAGACAATGAGAAATTAGTTTCAAAAGCTTAGAATTAGGAACATGTCTGCCGTCTGGGAAATGCCGAAAGCTGCCCTCCCTTCCCGCTGGGTAATCTGGAAGTGTTCATAGTATTAAGAATAGCCAAACAAAAGAATTAAACCTCAGGAATACACAGCTTTATTGTGGTGCTGAGCTAGCAGAACCATATTGAAGGATTGCTGAAAATACAACTTGTGTTTACACAAAAAGAAAAAAATTATAACAAAAATAACACATACTGTAGTGATTATATAGACATAAAAGAAATGGTAGTTAACCCCTTCAAAGCCAAACTACCCTGCACTCAATGAGCAGGAAGCTGTGGCAGTGAAGGGGTTACCATACACAAACAAACAAATACGCATTCTTTGTGTTTTTCCTCGCTTTGAACACACGGTTTTACAGAGCAGTTCATGTTTGGTTAATGGATCACGTTGAGATATTGCATGATTTTAACCTGCAAACACAACATAGCTCTCTGACCACAATTCTTACACAAATGGTAAGGAGCCTGTCCTGCAAAAAGTTTGCTTTGCAGAGACCTAAGGCCATGAAATTCCATTTCCAATGGAAAGAATAATTATATAATATCAATAATAATAATTATTATTTTAATAATAAAAGGTGCAAAGAATCCATCTCTGTGAGAGGGGCCAGGAGCCCAGTCTGGACACCTGCAGGAGCAGTGGGGTTAAATCTACTTGTGTGCCAGTTTCCTAAAACGTGAAAAGTAAAACCTCTAGAGAGGCTACGGTTTCATCGCAGACTCCTTTGGCACAGAAGTGCACTGATCGAATGTGTCTGGGAACGTTCTTTTTGTTTTTCTTTGAGGAAGGAAACATAGAACCTGCAGCAGAAATCACAATAGGTTTAACATATGACTGCATATCGGAAAAGACAGACGTTCTGACTGCCATTCTGTGCTTATAGCAGCATCTCCTTTCCTTAATGTTCTCACGGAATACAGCTTGCGGCAACATATCGCGGTGCAGCGTACAGCCTGCCGTTTCCAGTATGAGTGTCCTTGGAGAGAAATTTCCACAGCGATGGTTTTATAGTGTCCACTCCCACAAATATAGACATGGACTGTCACAAATCCACTAGGAACAAAAAGACAGATCACTACGTGACATGGGGTGGCAAAGAGACGGTGGTAAGTGTCTGTGGAAATAAGGCAGTGGAGGGACAGGACACATACGCGAACACAGATACAGAGGATTTAATCCTGTGCACATGTCAAAATGCAAAGGTACAGACTGCTATCCAGTGAGTAGGAGCTGCTGATTTAATACCCCGGGCTGAGTATTCAGTTACATTCCTCCTAGTTTTCCCTTCTGTCTATTGTAACCTAAATTTTCTACACTGCCGGCTGATAAAGGTGTAGGAACTTGTGTGTCCTCCTAATCCCTATGCTGTGGTTCTTTGGGCTCAGAGACAAAGGAAAGAGAACCGTCAGCAGCCATGGCCTGTGCATGGAGTCCACAGGTTCTCAGTTAGTCTCGTAGGATGAGAGAAGTGCGGCATCCACTGGTTCCATACAGGATGGGCAAGTAAAAGATCTCATCAGCCAGTCGTCTATACAGTCCATATGGTAAATATGCATGCAGGGCAGAAATCGTATCGGGTCGCCATACACAAAGTCCATCATACAGATCACGCACCTACAAAGACAGCAAGGGTCAGTTTATATAACACTAGACATGTATACAGCCTAACAAAAACAGATATCCACTTCAAGATTTATTATAGAGAATATTACAATATTAAATTAGGAATGGTACATTCATCATTTGCAAGTTTACTGACTCACATTGGGGTGTTTATATTAAAAACAAATCCATGGCACATTTGTGGAACTAATGCAGGTGCGAGTACTTTTTTGGCTGCCCTTATAGAGCAGTGGAGGCCAAAAGGAGGATCCCTCAACCACTCCACACATTTATTTATTTCAACACATCCTGCCTCTTTATGTTATTCCCCCCGCAACCTGTCTCTCCAATTTAATCCCTCTCCACCTGTGTCCACAAATTGACTTCCCCTTTTATAACTATGGTGCAGTGGTGGAAATAATAGAGGTGCAAGGTCCAAAGAGCAGAAGTGGGAAAAAAAAAGAAGATTTCTCAACTACTGCCTCTCCAGGTTATTACCACCCAACGTATCTCCCCACTGCACGCCCACAACCCGTCTCTCCCCACTGCACGCCCACAACCCGTCTCTCCCCACTGCACGCCCACAACCCGTCTCTGCATTTTATTCCCCCCTACCGGTCATCTTATCCTACCATTGTACCTGGATTTTCTTGTGATGTAGCTGTGCCAAAGAGGACTGTGAGGGTCACCTGATTGCCCCCCAAAACTTTGTGAACTCTGAAACAGTTGCACCTCTAGTAGTTCCTCCTCTGTAATAGCATATATTGTATTGACTTCATAAAGTTAAAAGGCTGAGCCGAGAATTATACATGTGACTGAAATACTGCAGTCGGACGATGTGTGCACTGAAATGCTGGAAGTATAGTCCTAACAGCCAAAACTACAAAACAAGTGCAAAAATTTAAAGTTTGAGTCTCTTAAATTCTTTACTCAATATGTTGATGGCCTACAACTCCCAAAATTCATTAAATTCAATAGATGGACAGAGAATCATGGGAGTTGTAGTTCAGAAACATCTTGTTTGAGATGCCCATCTCAAACAATCTTGCACCATAACCAATCAACTAAACTTATGTTTTATTTAAAAAAAATAAAAATAGGGTTTAAAGGGAAACTCCAGTGCCAGGAAAACAGTCTGTTTTCCTGGCACTGCAGGTCCCCTCTCCCTCCCACCCCCCAATCCCCGGTTGCTGAAGTGGTGAAAACCCCTTCAGTAACTTACCTGAGGCAGCGACGATGTCCCATGTCGCTGCTTCTTCCTCCGTGCCTCTTCTTACTCTGAGTCGGCCGGTGGGCGAGACTGATCCCGCCCACTGGCCACGGAGACCTAATGCGCATGTGCATTAGCACTCCCCATAGGAAAGCATTGAAAATGCATTTCAATGCTTTCCTATGGGGAAATTAGCGACGCTGGAGGTCCTCACACAGCGTGAGGACGTCCAGCGACGCTCTGGCACAGGTTTCCTGTGCTAGTAGACAGCCACTAGAGGTGGAGTTAACCCTGCAAGGTAATTATTGCAGTTTAAAAAAAACTGCAATAATTACACTTGCAGGGTTAAGAGTAGTGGAAGTTGGCACCCAGACCACTCCAATGGGCAGAAGTGGTCTGGGTGCCTGGAGTGTCCCTTTAATAAGTGAGTTAAGGAATAAGGAATCACTAGGGCAACATTAGAATAACTAATTTATTTCTTAAGTGATCCCTGGTGTTTTAACAACAATAATTAAATTATTATAACTGCTTTGTTGGAAAATATAGGTTTATTCACTCAAGTGAAAATTGCAGAGAAGGCGGCGAATTAATATTTAGGGCAAAGAAAAAAAGTCAATCGAAAGACAGAAATGCACAAAAAAACCAAACCAAAATTCTCAGATTGTTTATTGTGACCCAAAATTCACTACAATTCCCAATTATGTGGATAAACATCATATGTGTGGGTTTCTACATAGAGATACCAGAAGCCATTTATCATCACTGGCAGTTCACTAACAATTCTGCTACAAAAGGATAACAGCAGATCCATAACCAAAGATATCAATATATATTGAACGGTGAACAGGAAAACTCACTCTCTGATCTTTTTTTCCGATCCGTCTCGGCCGGGATCATACACTCCTTTAGGCAGATGCTGTATGAGACCTATTCTTTGAGCTATTCTGATTTGCTCCTCTTCAGTCAGCTGTGTTGCTAGGCGAGTCTGACTCGGAGTTGGGTGGTACACTGGTACTGGGGCCTGTTCCTGAAAGACAAAACAAATACATAGAACGAGTTAAGGGAAAATAAAAAGGAAAGTCACAGACATATGATATTAATGTGGGTTGCACACAATCCCAGCACTGTCTCCCTAGCTCTCCCCTCCCGTTCAATGCAATGTTAGACAATGTGTATTAGCCATTCTTTTTTTTTTCCTTTTCTGCTGGCTCAACAAAGAGCAGGGAAACCGTGGGAGGGGAATACAGATCTTATTCTCAGAAGAAAAGCTATAGGTTTAAAGGTTATATTATCAAACACAAAATGAAGGGGGGGAGAGGGTGAGCTGTCCTCACTATTCCTCTGTAAATGGTGGAAAGTTAACCCCTTAACAACCAATGCCATTTCATGCCACTGGGCCCAAACATGCGGTGCCACCATGAAACGTGCATATTTACTGCTGCCAGTTCTGTATACCCCTGCTTTCAGTCAATGAGAGGGAATATGAAACCCAGATTGCAATGATATGACTGTATTGCTACTGGCATTAAAGGGACACTCTAGGCACTATATCTCAATGAAGTCCCCTGACAATGTCCATTCAGTCAATATTAAACCATTTCCAAGCAGTTTTACATTGAATGAGAGTCCCTGGCCAAGCACAGCCCAGCCCCTACTGGAGGTATGGCTAAGGCAGAGATTGCACTCTTCCCTCTGGCCATACCAATTTATACCAGCATTGGAGGCTGTGAAAGAAGTCTGCTGACACTCTGCAAATCACCACTGCCTACTGCTGCTTTGGCTAATACTTCCTCATTAGCCAGAGCAGCACAGAGGAGATGGGCTAGCATAACACTGAATGTAAGGACAGTACCAGTGCACTCCAGATCTGAAGCAAGCACAGAATCTACTGTGTACCTTTAAAGGAAGTCATGTTGTATACAAAAAGGTACCTATTACTGGTGCTATACATTAAAGACCTCAGATCAAAAGCAAAGTCACAGACTTCACAACCGTCTCAAGATGCACAGTAATGGCATTTCATTCAAATTACTTTATTCCAATGATTCATTTAATGTTTGTAAATTCACAACATTTTGGTCGATTCTGAACTCTTGGGTAATTGACACCCCTGAGAAAAAAAAACCTGTTAACAGTTCTCAAGATTGATAATTGCACAGAGCAAGGATTAATATTCTGAAAAACCACCCCATTTCCATCCAGGAGGTTCCCCATTCTCTCCCCATCTCGATGATAATCTACAGAGACAAGATAAAGAGCTTCTCTGCACAAAGCTGCCAACACACCCAAGTTCTACTCTTTGCTGTTGTACCCTTTTATTCGCTCTCCCCCCCGCCAGGAACACCTTTGCAGAACGGACATCTTTTTATGCAATGGTGCACCTTAGCGGAGCACCTTCATTGAGTTATTTCTGAGCCAAACAAGTTGCTCCTGGCAAATGATCCTCTTCTGCCATCCAGGTACATGTGTCGCTGGGAGGATGTGCTGGGGCTGGTTTTCAGCGAGGAACAGTAGACAAACTTTTTTATACTGAACCTTCAGAGCACCATCTCCACAAAAAATACAGGAGATAAACTACAAGCTCCTCTCAGGGTGGTATAGCACACTTCATTTTCAGAAATCAGCCAAGCGCTTGTTGGCACTGTGGGACAGAATAGGGTACTCTGCTGCATATTTGTTGGGAGTGTTTGGAGTATTGCAGAAGCATCCACTATGCTTTGTGCTGCTTACTGGAGAGTCTACCCACTTTCTGTCCTGCAGAATATCTACCGCATTATACTAAAGTGGCCAACACCAGATATAATTTAAAAAACAAAAACCTCTACCCTAACACTTCCTGAATGCTGAAGACTCTGATCCCAGTCCTCTGGAGGTGCACTCTACTCAATGAGTTACTAAGGTCGATAAAATAAGGCCTCCCTGTACGAGAGACAGGAGCATTATTGCTCCACTTCGGCCCCATGGTTATTTAATGGGGGATATCTGGGGCCATAGAGTTGGTGGGAAGTCCCCCTTCTATCTCCTGATCCCTCTTATTCTCTTTGCCTTTTCTGTCTTTCCCCCTCTTCTCCAGGCTCTCTCTCATGCAGGGAGTCTGCGTTTTAACCTACCCCACCCTATTTTGCTCATTATTCATAGTTCCCTACTGAAATACATCAGTCCAAGGCTTCCTCCTGCTGTAACGGAGTCACATTAACTTGCATGTTAAGGCTACAGAATCATGTGCAACCCTGGTTTCTTCCCATGAGCTCTTTTTGGAAATTCTTATTACATTTGTGGGATTATGCCCCCACTCCCACGCGCAGAATATTTTCTCCTCACCAAGCAACTACGGACCACCGATTTGCGACCCTTGAGGATCAAAGACGCCGCAATAACCTCAAGATCCGAGGCGTCCCAGACGAAGTCTTGCCAGAAGAACTCCCACACCTGGTGAGCAGACTCGCGGGAACACTACTGAAGCCGCAACAAGCGAAAGCCTTGAGCTTTGAGGAGATATTTAGAATCCCCAAACCAAGGACGGCCCCAGCCACGGCCTCCGGGCACCTGTTGGTGAGATTCCGATCTGGAGCAGACAAAGCGGCCGTGCTTAAGGCCCTGCAGGGGAAGACCCCGCTCAACTTCGAAAATGCCAACCTTACCTTCTTTTCAGACTTGTCTGGAGATACCATGCAGTGGCGCAGATCCCTTCAACCAGTCACGATACTCCTGAGACAAAATGATATCACCTATCGATGGCGCACGCCAAGAGCCCTACAGGTCCTAAAGGACAATATGATCCACACAGTACAAGACCTACCGGAGGCTAAACGGCTGCTGACCACACTTGGCCTGCCAGAGAACTCCCTTATGCCGACAGGCCCAGCGGAAGCCAGAAGCAAGAAGCACAACTGGGACCCCGCAAGGACCAAGCCATTTGTCCCGCTGAAGGGGCAGCCAGGCAACCCTGCAGAGAGGAATGTGGTACCAAGCGGCACTATACCGCCCTAAAGAGGCACAGAGACAGCGACCCGCGGCCGCTCTTGCCTATCATCAGACTTTAGTTTCCTTCATACCCAGTTCTTTTTGTTTTTCTTTCCATGGACTTCTATTTTGTACCTGACGGCATCACACTGCTGGTCACTTGAGAGACCACAACAAAACAGGACTTTCGCCTACTCAGAGAGGGGAACCCAGGAGGGACTTCGCAGAGCCACACGATAACGCCCTATGCAGCCCCAGGGCACTCGACCGTCTTGTGACAGTCGCCACCCCACACCCAGAGACTCTCAATCCTCCATGCAGGACAGCCCGTAAGGGCCCCTGGGAGGGACCAATGTTCATGATCGTTATTTGTTTATAATAGCGGTAAAACCACAAACTGATCTTATCACTGTAAATGCGCATTTACTTAGAATGTTACAGCGCAGGGACCAAACTGACCACCAAAATAGGAACACGAGCTCAACCAGGCCCGACGCATTTTATAGAGCCTTGACCTTTCCATATGACAAACACGGGACGCATTCTTACACTCACCCATTCATATACTTATGGCAGGACTAACTTGATATTTAACCCTACCCTGACAGTACAATGGCCTAGCAGAACATGCGTCATCTCACACGACATGAGTCACTCAAACATTTAGAGCAAACTAGCCGCAACAACATGGTTGCCATTAATACTGCACTACTCATACGGCAGCGTAAGCCACACTAACGAAATAGGCGATACACACTTCTATCCTGACAACAGAAGCATTTAACTATCTCTGTGCTCTGAAAAATGTACAGACATATATGCCTTTAAACCACAGTCTAACCTCTGCTATACATGGAACACGCCATGGGGCCGTATATTCCTTATCTGTACAAATCGGCACGACAAAATTAATGTCACGCTACCAGATCAAACCATACTCTTTGTTTCTTAAAATTTCTCTTGTGTTTCTTATTTCTTTATTATTGCTACAATAATTGCTACTACCTTATCAAGACGTAACCTGTCTAGCGTTCACTCTAAGGCACAAACCACACGCTCCCACTTAAACTGAGCCAAAACGAAAGGCTGACGTAGTCTCTTCTCATTACAGCTTAATCGCACTACTATAGTACTATCCCTCATAGCACAAATCTGCTAAAACACCACTGTTAAAGCATATGTCCACCTATTGTTATTGTTAATATTTTACTCAACTTGTTGATATCACGATGTAAAGTAAGCTCATAAAAATGTGTGCAAGCTCCTTACATACCACATATCAGTTTTTTTTTTTTCTTTGGAATTTGCGCTTGTGAGAGCTGATGTGGCTGTACAAGCAATGTTGTAAACCTTAATGCACACCAAAAATAAAGAATTTCCAAAAAAAAAAAAAAAAATATTTTCTCCTGATGCATTTTTGAATTGATTAAATAAATCTTAAATAAAGATTGACCATAAAAAGATCCCATCCTGTTCCCATGTGTATGATGGTGCACAGTAAAGACATTTCAGAGGTATTCTCGAACATTATAAGAGCAGGTTTTTGTTCTTGTTGGATTCAAACGTACTCATTTCTCCATGTGACAAAAAAAAAAAAAAGCTACATAACTGCTGTCTGCAGCCTTTGCAAGGTCTCCCTTTTATCCCTGGAGGAATGAACGATCACATACCTCCCAGCAATCATGACTGGATAATCAGGACAGGGTGACCAGCGGTGCAACCCACGTAAATAGCACATAATGGGCAGGCATAACCCAAATAAAAAGGCATGGCTGGCCTCCAGCCTTTAGGACACAAGGACAGGATCCTGAAATCAGAACTGTCCCACCAAGAGCAGGACTTGGAAGGCCTGTTATCATCGGCTCTGTGCTAAAGCAGTGTGTGAGTGCACACACATATCAAGACTTTACAATGCTTCTCAATGAGTTGTAATAAAGCTAATTGAGAAGTGGGGAAGGCGGGCTCGTGTTAGCCCAGTGTGCCTCCTCTGTAGAGCCAACATAAGAGGAACAAAAGCTTCCCTCCTGTCTGATTGAAATGCTTTGGTAAAGTTTTAGTCTCGGACTCTTCTCTTACCAGAAACGAACAGTGACTAGGAAGGCTACCGATAGAATAGCTTGCAGCGCAGCCGCTCTAACACCCAGAAGTGCCTGCTGTAAATTTCACGAATGAGGACAGTTCAGACCTTTTAGCAGCATCCTCTGCTTTTTTGGCACCAAATGCACAGCTTCTTATTTGACCCATTATGTAAAGGAAACTTACATCCTGAGCAGTATAAATCGTTTGTTTTCAAGAAAGCTTAAGGTTTGTTTACTAAAAATAAATATGCCAATGGGTTTGCACAAAGCTTATGTGTTGGCACAAGCAGATAAAGATAACTGCATCTGGTGGCCTGTTCCAGAATTTGAAATCTCTTAGGCAGGAAGCAGAGATTCAAATTTACCGTAAGTGTGAAGAATTCTGCAACTTTTTATTTATATATATATTTTTTATTGTAGCTAATAAAGAATCATACAGACAATAATAAGCAGAATACGCTACATTTTAGGTGCATTCTATAATGGTAGACAGAGACTTCTCGTTCATATCAGGAATTACGACAATATCATTTGCCTGTCAGGAGGAATGGTGTCAGCTAGACTATGCACAATTTTAAGAAGGGTTAGCAGGTTACAATTCTTAACACCTTCAACAGCTAGCGTGGAGGTGTGAGCGGTACGAGAGAGCCCTCTCGTCAAATTTCGTGGTGTAGAGGAAAGACATTTAGATGACGTAAGTTTGGGCTAAGGTGCCTGTCGAATTCAGTGCCACTGCTGTTTTATCAATATTTTTATTGTTTAATGTGTTATCTGTGGTTTTATCAATTTTATTCGATTTATAATAAAAGCTGCTATGTTATACTACCATCCGGAGTCCTGATTTCCTGCTATCCTGCAGACAGCGGAGAGGGATCCATAGCCCCCTCCAATTACATCAGGGGAGGCACCCTTTGAGCTCATAATACGTCTACATCTTGTGAGTGCATTTTTGTACAGTGCACATTATTTGTTAAAATCGTATTACACAATGCTTTGTCTATGTTCTTTTTAGATTCCAGAGACGTATCCCATATGTGTTTTGCTTGTATTCTGAGCTATAACAGCCAGATTAACCCGGCAATTAAACAATGCAACTTTGCTTTCTTGCAGAATCGCAATGTTTTCAGTTGTAGGGTTTAACAGACAGGGACATGGCACGCTGATTACTTCACGGAGATAAACTGGTCAACTGAACACACCAGCATTACAATAACTATATTTATTTCTAATAGTACAATGTTCCTTTAATCTTTGGCTGCAAGACGTGTTGTGTGGTCTGATAACACGCTATGCCCCGGTAACACAAACCCCAAACATCTATGAAAGCAGACAAGCAAGACATTCACTAAACATATTGATTTTATAAACCTACAACTGCAAGTCACAGGCGCGGAGGTTATTCAAGCCAAAAAGAATGGTGGAGTGCCAAGGCTTTTCACACTGGCAGTAATTAGCTGATTAAGCAGGAATCTATTGTTATTTGGATTCTTTATGTCACGCTTCCAGCTGGTGAAAGGATGGCGAGCGCCGACACACGCAGTAACCTCAGGAGCCAGCCTGGTCTCGCTACCCGGGCTTACAATGTTAATATGCCACACGGCAGAGCCTCCTCCCAGCCCAGCTGTCTCCTGAGGCCATGCCAGTTGCTGCTGTCTTACACCATTAAATCACGTCTGCTGACACACATACAACACAATAAAGAGGCTTCTGCTTCTAGATCCCTCCCAGCACTGAATGTGCTAAAGAAACTCAAGTTAATTTTATTGTAAAAGAGTTCTGTAATGGTGATACTGTTCAGCGGAAACCCTTGGGGATACATAAGAGATTAGACACCTAAAAGTTCAGATTAAGACTAGGGTCTCAGCCACCCACCTGTCAGCCGGTTGATAAATAAAAATGTATCAGAGCGTCAGCTCACACTCTCAGCCAATGAATGTGGTCTAATTTAGACGTATGATTGTTCCCTTTATCACAGGAAATCAGACCGTCAGGACCAAGAGTGCTTGATACAGCAAAGTAAATCTCAAGCCATTTGTAAACCATTAAACTGATTACTATCTTTAACCTCTTAAGGACCAATGGTCTTCGTCACCATCTTGTCCCTACATGTCAATGTAGACTGTCCTGCTAAGCTACCACTGGTAGGACTACAGCTTTTGCAGCATTCTGTCAATGTGTCCTTTGCAAAATTATCTGTAGAAGAACTCAATGCATCATAACCTATTCTTTGAGAATATGTAGTAATGGTGCTTGAAGTCCGCCTTTAATCTCTACATGTCATTATCACAAAGTATATATTAGATATAAACTTGTCTTGCATCGAATTGGTGGATGACCGGTGATATTTAAAACCTATGACAGCCAATGGGGACCAAGATGAACTAATCCCAATGGAATCGAAAACTGACTTTAAACTAGGCCAACGTATAAACACGATAGTTAACAAAACATTGCCATCTTGTTGTATTTATACATTATTATTTTTATTCAACTTTATTTGTACCAAACGCAAGTCTGTCCTCACCAACCTTGCTCAGGAATGCACTACCTTGATAGGAACATGAAACATTGGTGACTATGACCTTCAAAACATCATCTTGAGTAAATGAGTTCTGCATACCTAAAGAACTGAATTCAGCCAATGCACATACAAAGGAGGCTCGAGGAGACGCGATCAATTAATTTAATCTTCACACCTTATAAAATGCCATGCACGGTTACCCGTTTCAGTGACCAGATTGCTTAGCATGCAGGAATGTTTATCCCATGGGGGTAACTCGCTACCTATTGAATGACAGAGCCTAGAACCGATACATATAGTGCAATCCACTGACCTAGATCTGTCAAGTATATAAAGACCGCAAACTATTAGATGTTGATTATAAAAGCATGACATGTTCAAATCTGTAATGCAGTTCGAAGGCCACAGAGGTCAATCTAATTACACGTAGCTCGGTGATGCTGCTTGAATATGTAAATCAGGAAATACTGTGTGCTATGCATGTTTCGTGCTTGTTGTATTTTGCTATTTGACCCGGTACAGTATGACTGGTAATATACTTCTAGTTTAAAGGAATTTATCATATGGGATGGGATGTATCTTTTTCAAAGAAACAGTACTTCTCACTGCAGCACCTCAAACCAGTGACAGGCAAATTGTATCAGCCCTTTATCATACGGACTAGCAAAATGCACTCAATCACATGATAACGCGCAGGTGTCTCCATTAAATCCGTCCTGTTCTCACTGCACCAACACTGAAAAGGTGACTGGCACAGCGCGATATAGCAGCTATTCCTCAATAATATAGATTTAAAATACACATAGGCACAAAATGGTTTGATTGGGTGTCTGTATCACAGATTACGTGGTGATGCATTGTAAAATGTGGGATTACTCATGTAACCCTGTGTAAATGTTACTCTGCAAACACCATAATTACTAGATTAAACTGTAATGGTTAAGGTACCAGTAATACCCTGGTACCCGCCATTATAAACAGTCAGGCTGTTTGACTTCATACTTGGGGTCCATCAGGCATCGCTCCCCGCCTCACCTCTGCAGCTCTCCCGCTTACATGCTCCAGTTAGTATTTCTGAGCTATGCTCTGCAGTGCAAGGCCAGCTCGTTGGCTGCAAGCGTCAACTTCCAGCTCTTTGAAAGATGTAGTGGAGGCAGGGAGTGTCATTCAGCAGACCCAGGTAAACTATTCAAAATTGCCTCAGGGCACTCCTGGCACCATAACTACTGCAGTGTGCTACCGTGGTTATGGTGCTTGTATCATTATGACAATGGCAGGCGTGTGGAATTTTTGAAGAAAAAATAAGTCTGCATCCTCAATGGGCTAAAAGTGGTAACCCAATCTGCCTGACAAAAAAAAAAATCAATTACAAAGATCAGGGGGGTCTTGTCTAGAGCCGTGACATTGACAGGGCTCTTTGCTAAATTCATTTTTACAAATTAAATCTGAATGCAGAAATGGAGGTAAAAATAGTCTATGTGGAAATATTCTCTACGTTTGCCATATTGTTGATTACATTTTACCATTTGGGTTTATTTTACAAAAATTCCAAGTTCTGTAAATTACCTTGAGTGTAGTCTCTCCTTTTGTCAATGTGTGTGTGTGAGTGTGTGCGCGCGCACTCCCGGTATGTAAGGTGTTTCTGGTGGTTGTGTGTGTGTGTGTGTGAGTGTGTGCGCACACGCGCACACTCCCGGTATGTAAGGTGTTTCTGGTGGTTGTATGTACAGTGCGTAAGTGGCGTGGCTGTATGTATGTACAGTGTGTAGTCGTGGACCCGAGTTTGACAACCCAGAAAGCCAGCACTTCCTTCTATACATACATAGTATGTATACATAGTATCTCCATTTCTACGACAAAATAGAGTAAAGTCTAATGTGTAATTTACAAACGTACACATTTGTTAGCTGAATAACTAGTCATTCTATGATGGTACATTTCTGCCACCCCTCCAAATCACATGCCCCCAAACATGTCACTATGTAATAAAGTTGTAAAATTTCCACAAATGCCTTAGTTTAGTGAGAACACATGGAACGTTTTATTTAAAGTTTATCGTTTTAGTGCACCACCTCGAATGGAAAACAATTCTGTCTTAATATTTGGTACAGTGGAAAAGAGGTCAACCGATGTTCTACCCGGACCTTGGTGGTAATCCGAGGGATAAAGATTAGAATGAGATTACTGGGCTCTGCACTGCAACACAAACAAATGGATTCTGTCCAATTACAAAGGGAGATTTCCTAACAGCACAAACTAAATGTGAAGCGGTCAACATGTGCAGAAAAACAGAATTCCTAATGCAGGTACCCAGAGTAATGCGAAGCAGGTGCTTTAGAAGCAGTCTTATTCACATGGGATTCTCTCTCTGGAGAGTGCACTCTTGTTTTGAAGTCGACCAATACAATAATGAAGGATGTTGCAGACGGCTGAAATGCCTTATGCCCACAGAATGAGAGGAACACAGGCAAATAGGTAAAAGCTGTGTAGAAGAAATAAATGGAAGGGAAAATGCTGCATTAGGAAGTGGAAAAAAACAATTCCAATCAAAATTACATTTTAATTACAGGATTGTATGATATATAGCACACAGTATACAAAAAAAAATATTTTTTTTTAAAGGGACATTCCAATGCCCCCCAAAAATGTTTAAACAATTTATTTAAGTCAATGAATAGTAAATATTCCCCAAATATGAAAACATGTAACTAAGAAGTGTAGCATTAAAGGTAAGGTCACTGACTGGGATGCAGAGGACCCAGGTTCAAACCCAGCCAGGCCCATGTGGTATAGTGTGGGTCTGATCATCCACACAAATTAGGTCCCACGCTTGGATGTTAAATCAGAGTAGAGGACTCACTGCTAATCCTGTGGCTGAATACCACTAATAGTGGTGGTGATGATGATGAAGGCAGCAAAGGTGTCAACAGCCTCATACCCAACATGTCCCAACTCTCAATGACACAGGTTAGGCATTTTCCCCTTGACACTACAGTCTCCAAAGGAAAGATATTTCAGTTAAAAAATAATTGTTAGCAACCATATAGGATTGAGCAGACTAGATGGGCCAATCATAAACTTCCCAATGCAGGTGCTCTGGGCAATTGCTGCCTATTGAGTTTATCTGAGCTAAACAAATCAGGAAGTAATCTGCACTTTTCGTAAAAAAAAAAAAACACTCCACACAAAGCACTTCAGCAAACTTAAAGGACCACTATAGTGCCAGGAAAACAGCTCTGGAAGGGGGAAAGGGGTAAAAACTTACCTTTTTCCAGCACTGGGCGGAGAGCTCTCCTTCTCTCCTCCTCTGCTCCGTCGGCTGAATGCGCACGCGCGGCAAGAGCTGCGCGCGCAGCCGGTCACATAGGAAAGCATTCATAATGCTTTCCTATGGACGCCGGCGTGCTCTCACTGTGAAAAATCACAGTGAGAAGCACGCAAGCGCCTCTAGTGGCTGTCAATGAGACAGCCGCTAGAGGCTTTGGGGGAAGGCTTAACCCATTAATAAGCCTGTTTTTTCTCTGAAACTGCTATGTTTATTAAAAAATGGGTTAACCCTAGCTGGACCTGGCACCAGGACCACTTCATTAAGCTGAAGTGGTCTGGGTGCCTAGAGTGGTCCTTTAAGTGCTCTAGTATGTCCCTTTTAGTTAAAATGGTCATCACTGTAATACACAATTTTAAGTCTTTTTTTAAAGGTTTTATGGACATCTGCATTTCTGTACCACCCTCCCCCATGAATCATTTTTATATGCAGCACTATCTAAAAGAGCAGCCACAAAAGAATTGTGGATCGTTATTTTCAGAAGTTTCAGGAAGTGTGGCTACCCTTTAAACCATTGATTTCAAAACACCAGCTTCTATGCATCCATATAAAGATATGTCCCCAGGTGTCAGTCTGCAACTCTTCTTCTGTTTGGGATAATGTGGAAGCACTAACGTAAGCAATCCGGCGTTGCCAGCATTAAATGATACTCTTTGCCGATCACTGGTTTTACTTTAAACAGTAAAACTGCCCTGGGGACTCCAGACACCATAACAACGTCATCGAGATGAATCTGCTATGGCACCTCAAGTGCTCCTTTAATGCATATCTTTCCATTTACGCACACGAAATACACACAAATATGCGGAATACACACTCATTATTGCATACCTTCTTTCAGGTAAAACTGGATTATTTCCCAAGGTTTATTTTGAATCAAGAAAATGTGAGGGTTAAATAAAGGTGTTTATACTGGGAATAAAGCCAAAGTACTATAGAATATCAAAAACAAAAAAACCTTTAAATAATCTTTGTGCCACAGATAACATTCTGTAGTGGTTATAGTGCTTAGAATGTCCCTTCAATTCAGATAGTCTTTTTAGTGATATACAGGGAGAGCAATACCCAGAATGCAACACTCACTAATCTCATACAGGATGGGACATGTATGTCCAGTGAAGCCCGAAGATTAGGGGCTCCTTCACATTGTCAGTCACACTGTGTGTCACGGTTTTCATTGGAAGGTGTAACAATCTATGTAATCTCAGGCAGTATGGGATTTCAGTGAGTGATCTGTATACGTACATATTATATAAGGTTACTGCTCCACACGGGCTACAAAAAATAAGAAGGAAGAACAAGTCACCCTGGCTAATTTGGCTTGACTAGAAGACATTTATATATATATATATTTTTTTTTTTTTAAACAGCCAGGTGATTTCCAGAAAAAGGATCTTCTGATGGCGATGACTCTACACTGTATGCTCAAAGTCCTTTACATGGGCTCGCAAAACTGAGAAGTTCTTTCTTAAACAGAGCGAGCCAACCTTCTAACTGACCCTGGCAGATTGTAGAACAGGCCAAGCTTGTTACATGACTTTCACAAGACACACAAGTATACATGTATTGCACGAGAAACAAACAAGAACCCTTACTGAGATAGACGCCTTGAATTCTTAGATTTTTATTGGCTGAAGCTGTTAAAACATTCAGTTCAGGGCTGTGTAATATCAGCTGACTGTGTGTTTGTCAGTTTTGCTAATCAAACAAGTCTTTACGTAGTTTGTATAGTTAACATGCCTCACAATGCATATTATGTCATAACAGTTATAGGATCAAGTAGAACATATCAGTGTCAGTGAAGCACACGCAAGTGTAAGATTAACTCTGGTGATCAAAATTCTGGTGTCAGGTTGTGTGATATCAAATGCAAGCATAAATTAATGAATATTACACTTACTGTTTGCACCAAAATGAAGAAGATCCATCACATTTGAACCTTAAAGGGACACTCCAGGCACCCAGACCACTTCTGCCCATTGGAGTGGTCTGGGTGCCAACTCCCACTACCCTTAACCCTGCAAGTGTAATTATTGCAGTTTTTTATAAACATCAATAATTACCTTGCAGGTTTTACTCCACCTCTAGTGGCTGTCTAGTAGACAGCCACTAGAGGGCACTTCCTTGTCCATAGCACAGAAAAACCTGTGCTTCAGCGTCGTTGGACGTCCTCACGCTGTGTGAGGACCTCAAGCGTCGCTCAATTCCCCATAGGAAAGCATTGAAAAGCATTTTCAATGCTTTCCTATGGAGACCTATAGAGAGCTCTAATGTGCATACGCGGCATTGCCACGCATGTGCATTAGGTCACCGCGGCCGGCGGACGTAACAACTGGAAGGAGCGGCAGCGACCCGAAACCACCGCCGAGGGACCGGGTGTCTCAGGTAAGTGACTGAAGTGGTTTTCACCCCTTCAGCAACCAGGGATGAGGGGTGGGAGGGAGAGAGAACCCGCAGTGCCAGGAAAACGGATTGTTTTCCTGGCACTGGAGAGTCCCTTTAATGGTGGTATGTGGGGAGTCCCTGGACAAAATCACAAAGGTTCAACCCTCAGATAATGACACAGGCCCCATGTGTCTGTGTCTATCTCCATGATCTACCAGCAGGGTAGTGTAAACTCCAGTATGAGAATACTAGAATACTGTCTGGGAAGAGAATTTATCCACTTCAAGCTAAGGCTCAATGATAAAGGTATGCAGGGCAGCCCTATCCTGAGGAATAGTTAATAGATAACAGGATCCACAAACATTTATATTTTATAATCGGGATCCACAAATCATTTTTCTATTGCCAATGCCGATACAGATTATCACTCGCCTTTTCGGTCTGATTGCCAATAACTGGTGCCGATACGCTGTCCATAAAAGTTTTGAAAAAGTAATTTCTACAAAAATCTGGAACTGAACTTACTAACAACAAATGTACTTGCCTTTTCTTCCTCCTGACCCTCATCGACATAATCAGAAATAATAACCTTTTGGATCAACAGCAAAATACAAATGTGAGGAAGGCTGAACCGGATGGACGCAAGTCTCTTTTCAGCTATGTAACCTCACCCAATCAAATACTTCATAGAGAAGTATTGCGGGGCCTACTGTGCACATCAGCATTTTCTTACAGAGATGCATTATAAAAATGCACCTCAAAGGAGAGTGTATGGTGTCTACATGCTGTGCATGAGGGTATCAAACGTCAGTCCTGCAAACATTGTAAGGATGGAAGGCAGAAGTGTTTCCAGTGGCCGTCTTACAGCTCAATGCAAACAGAAATGGTAGTGCTTTCAAACAAGTCTACACAGGAAGGCTCTTTATGCAGCGGACATACTACAGCTTAATTGTGTATAGTGTTCATTAAAGTCCTACACATTTAATTATCCATTTTAATTGTCCAACACAGCAAATGTGACCTGTAGATGTACTATAACACAGGCACATTCGGCTTATTTCCCGAACAAATGGACACTACATGTAACTGCCATATCTGTGGACTGGGAACATGTGTGGTTTTACCTTAGCACTGAGTGAGCTACATACTATATACTAACTGTATACATGTCACTTTCTCTCAAACCAAGTTCATTTGAAGGGTAATTCACTGAAATATGAGTTGTTGACAATCTGGGGAAATGGAGAAACTTCATATTTGAGCATTGTTATGTTTTGTATTCGATTGGTCAGTTTTGTGTGGCTTTAAATTCATTATCTATAAAAAGCATGAAGTCAAAAAGAGTCAGTTCCAGTCTGCATTGTCCTTTTACATCTTAACCATTTTGGTTATAGACATACAAGGACAAACAATTTGCATTGACGAATATTCAGATACAGGTAGAACGATTATTGACACTCGTTGAACAAACAGTTTGCATTGACGAATATTCAGATACAGGTAGAACGAGTTAAACAACATTCAACTCTGCCAACTGTATACTATACAGCAGTGGCTCCCAACCCAGTCCTCAAGTAGCGCCTAACAGTCCAGGATTTAGGGATTACCCTGTTGTATCTAAAGGGTTGTTTTTTCTTTCTAAAAACACCATAGACACAACAGGGTAATCCCAAAATCCTGGACTGGTAGGGGGTACTTGAGGACTGGGTTGGGAACCCCTACTATACACTACAGAGGTTATGGCGCCTTGAGTGTATTTTAGAATATAGAACTTCTGATAACAATAAGTAATTTGGAACCTGCAAGTGAAAGAAAATAAGTTTGCTAACCAGGAACGGGTTTGTTTTACTTCCGTAATAGATTGCATTGCAATTATATGAAACCAAAGTGCTCGACAGTAGGATATGATTAAGTCAGACTCACGAATCGATGTGAAGTGCTGCGTCATGATACAGGCACTTGTGCTTTTTGGCCTCTTAGGCGAGAATACAAAAGGCAAACTTAAAGACACAGGCAATACACACTACATCTGTTGAGGACTGCAACTCCCATAATGCTTAGCCAAAGAAATCAAGTCTCAAAAGAAACCACTCCACATATGAAGCACTGAAAAAAATGTATGTTGTTTATCCTTGATGTAAGATTCCAATGCAGATTGCATTCATATAATTGGTTCCAGATAGTAAGCGCCTATGTTACTGAAAAATTAGGGGTTTAACACATTTAATATACTAGAAAGCAATGGGGGATGGGGTACAACCAAAAACATACATGTGGCAGCTTAAAATGTTATCTCAATAAAATAAGTAAATAAAAGCTTTTTTAATTTTGATTTGATACAAGTTGTTGTGTGAGCATGTATATCAACAAGCAAATGTATGATATATAAGTATAGAATATGACTCCAACATAATTTACAGCAATAAAGAATATAAGAGCCATCATAACTGCTACAGAATTCAATAGAGTCCCCTTTTGCCAACTCATAGTAAGTAGCCAAATTGTTTTCAAACCATATCTTCTCTGCTATACCTAAAGTGAAAGTACGTCTACTGCATGATGTGTATGAATATTGCCCCTATTCGGAAGGAATTCATTGGCTGAAATGTCAGCCAGTGCTCTCTAACAATTCATTCCATCCAGAAACAAGTAACCAATATCACTAATAGGGTAGGTATGGACTTCCTTAACAATGATAACCAGAGAGGATGCTGTTGTAGTTATGGTTCTTATTGTGCCCTTTGAAACAGGAACAATAAGGAACTGTTAATTGGGAGGGTGAAATATGTTCTTTTCAGTTTTTTGAAATGTAAACAAAGTTTCAAATCACTGGGACTTTCCCAACACACAGAAACAATGTACAAGCAACATGATCCAGTGAAACTATTTTGCTTTCAAAAAAAACCAAACACTTTGAACATCATATCAGTTCCTTACAAAAAGTACTTGTTTGGAAAAAGGCCAAAAGTAACCTTACTAGCAGAAATTTGAGCTCTTAAAGAGTTACTCCAACCAAAACTTCTTGAAACACTTATTTTATTCAAAGTAACCCTTCCTATTCTATTGCCCCCACCAAAAAAAATCTAAAACTTATTATGCCTGATCCTCTTCTGCTGACATCACTGCCCCTTGCTTGAGGAAGACTGGATGTCAGAGAGGGCAGCATGATAACACCACACGTGGAATTGCCTTTCAGGCAGAGAAGGGGTTAAACTCTGAATGTTTGTATTGAAGAGCCATGTTACAGTGCTGCTTCCCACCCCATGTGCATCCTATGAAGGTTTAACAAGTGTGTAAGGGCTTATAACACATAGCCATTTCTGGCTCAGGGATTTTACCTTTTAACAGAAAGCAGCAAGGAGAATTGCTGGTGTACGACTCACCTAAGAGGTTCTGCCTCGATGTGGCAAGTGAGCTTACACTTTAAAGGCCATAGGAGTAATACAAAAAAACTCCAGTTATGTAAATATGGGTAGGGATTTAAGATAGTGCACATGTATCTCTTTTTTTTTGGTTCTTGTTTGCGCGCAGAGTTTCATAGAGAAATTCTTGACATACAAACGTCAGGCACCATGACCACTTCAAATCACTGAAGTGGTAATGGTGCTTGGAATAACCCTTTAACTTGCTTCTAATGCAGAGGCAAGGGTGTTGTCTCTCGCTAGTGGAGATCTCCAGACCAATCCAGTTTCTCACAGAGAGAATTGGGACACGATGTGTGGCAGTCACTGAGTCTGCAATGCTTCTGACAGAAAAGCCCAATGCTAGGGGTAAACCTGACAGCCAGGACACTTTCTTTTGAAATCTGTACTTCTATAAAGTGTGAAAGAACGAACAATGGAAATGTAACCAAAAATATAAACAGAATCCCTAAAATAATATGGCACACCCACAATCACAATACATGTTTAGTAATCATTTTCCATAACAAATTAGAAAGCCCCATACAGGTAAATGTAGCTGTGATAAGGGAAACTAATTAGGACAGTTTGGGAGCACAAAGAAGTGACCTTCCACCCTTTGTTCATAGTTTCCAGTATAGCCACAAAAAAATTCCACTTGGTATTTCTCATCCCCTCCCTCCCAGATGTAACATAACCATGCTTCCAAAAGGAGAGCACAATTAACAATAAGAAACCTGCTGACCAAGCTCAGCATTCTGATATTTAGACCACCGCCTCCATTGCAAGGCTCAAAAAACACGAGTTTCAGAAAATTAATTTCTTTATTGTGCTACAATCGAGCACGTTTACAGGAAACAACTGCAAAACCACCTAAAAAACACTACAAAGTAGTCATTATCTGCAACAAATCCTGAATTCTGGGCATTTAAGCTTTTCAATGACTAGGCCACTGTCGAGTAAAGTACTGAGCATACTTCTAGCATTAAAAGAGTTGAAATAAACAAAAAAAAAAATAAAAAAAAAAGAATCACCCCCAAAACTGTAATCTGTCAACCCTTAATTAATTATTGTGGCCAGTCCAAATGATTGACTACTTTTCAGATGCTAGCAGAGCACCCTGAATGATTGGTTCGTAACTAGTTACTCGTAATGGATCTCGTGATGTGAAATTGATCAGGCCTAATTTCTGTTCAACACAGAGGTCAATAAGTTGCACAGCTGCCATACAGGAAACTACTTGTGTTTCTAAATGGAGAAAAAAAAAAAAAGAGAGAGAGAGAACTGCGGCAGACAGTGAGATCATCATCCTGAACATAACAATGGCAGCTTCACAAATAACCACTAAGCAGGCCGACCCTGCACCCAAACACAGGAGGCATGCTGACCTTACTGTCAACTCCCAGCTGACTAATGTGTTAAAGTACAGACACAAATACTCTCATCAACTGTCTAATCCCAGACAAGCGAATCAGTACGAAATAACAAAAATTTGTGGAGGAGGGGGGAATCCTCTTAATCTCTTTGTCTCTGGTTGGGCCTGTAAAACAAAGCCCTGCAAATAAGGATCATTCCTTAAAATGTGGGGATTTAAAGGGACACTCTAAGCACCAAATTTTCAACAATGTGTTTATGATGCAAATATTCTTTGAGTAATGCCCCCTTAGGTTTCAACTGGGCTTTTCCAGGACTCAAAATGTACCCTTTCAAGATTATTAAGTATTTTGGGTCCTCACTATCTGTCCACATTTTCAAGGACATAAAAGGCTAGCTAGGGTAAATGTAGATCACAAAATTCTGCGTATTACAGATAGCGAGGGCAAGTAATGGGTGCAGAAGAGAGACCCAATATTTGTCAAGCTCCTCACAAACTTTAACAAAATACACAAATGGAGGGGCTGACCAAAGGACTCCTTGCAAGAGTTTGTAGTAATAAATGGTATTCAGCATTCCCATTTACAGAGCAAGAACATGTTTCTCCATGTTTACTGCATAACATGAGAGATGTCATGTGTGTCATATAAAAACAGTCTCACCTAGTTTAGTGAAAAGTAGACGATACTGTGCAAGACAAGTTTTACCAAGATTTGGCTGGGCTTAACAGCCCTGTGCACAATGTTATACACAAGAGGTCACCCAAACCTATTCCAGGTGTCGCATGGCTCTACCCTGGCCAAAATACTCCCACATAAAGAATGACACCATTTACAATACTTTATTTCACCACAATCTGAGTGTCAAATTCTTGCCAAAGATCCAGCAACACTGCAAAGTTGCCAAAGACAGAGGAGTGTTGAAAGATCACCACTGTTAATTTTGGGTTGATAAATGTCCTCTGGGTCACTATTTCTCTGTGGGTTAAGGCTCATGTTAAATAATCTTGTGTGCAATGCAGCACACCCTCTGAAGACTTCTTACATATATCTTTCTCAGTTTATTCTTACAGCACATCACAAGGAAACATGCACTTTGCACCCCTTTATCACAACAAAATAAATGCTTTTAAACATCTGAAGAGTTATCCCAATTGCAATGCTTGCTGCCAAGTATGTCTGAGAATTACAGTCATTTCTACTTAAAAATGGCAGATGAGTTGAAAATCTACAATTTTCTGGTTCTAAAGGTCCACATAGTGAATATTTATTGTACATCAGGAATGTGGGATCTTGAGCAAGAATAAGACATTCACAGTCTGATTTCATTCATTGTGTCGTCAATGTACAATCACACCTAGCCAAGCGTTATGCTATGCTGACATCGCCCAAAGACAGCCACAGTAACAGGCCTATGACATAAAATATGTGAGCAGCCTATGGTATTATTTACATATATTCATAGGTTTGTGATTATGCACATGTACACACACACAATTGGCAAATATGACTGCATAACATGGAGATGAGTAATGATCAGAAATATAGATAGGTTTAATAATAGAGATTTAAAGGGACACTGGTAGTTTTTTTTTTTTCTTCCAACACAAAGGCAAACACGTTAATTGATGTTATCAGTACAGGTGATATATATTATCTATGCTGATAACACTATTTATCATTCCATAGTCATGTGTAAAGGACTAACCACCCTCCCGTTTACTACACATATAAGGAATATTATATTTAACAGTAAAAAAATCAGTCTGGTGAAAACCTAGTGGACTGTACCTAACTTTTACATTAACAAAAAAAGATTAATTAAACTACAGTAACATTATATATGACAAGCCCTGAATGATCAGCCAATGGACCGGATGCCCCCATTTGGTGCCAAAACAAAAAAATAATGCTGTAAAATAGATAATTCTTTTGTGTTTATGAAAAGGAATGGAGTCAAACACTAATGTACAAATAAATCCCACTTTCCACAGATACCGACTGCGATATACCAGATATTAAAAGCCAGTTTCTGCTTTTGCCACCCAGATACAAGTGCAGATATGTCCATATTCTGTGATGCCACGCTAACCTCATGCATCCCATCTGTGGGACAAGTTTAACACGAATCTCAGCCAGGCAAAGAAGCAGAATCTGTATTGCCAAAGGTTAACTATGCCTAGTCAACATAAGAAAGGATACAAAAATACCCTAAGTATTCACTTTGGAAATATCATATGGAGGTAGCCCAACTCCCATCATCATGTCTGGGAGAGATGACTACTGCAGTCTGAAAACAGCCTAGGTTTTGGGGGTATACAGTAATAAGTTTTCCAGCTGTAGAGGGAGTCACACCATTTTAAGTGAGCTGGTTAGGACTAATGGGAGCTGCAGCCCAGAAAAGTTGCAAAGACAACTGGTAGAGGTGATCAAAAAGGGAAACACTGTCCACCCCACTGTTAATACACTTTTTGATGTCATGCAGAAAACATTAACTTGATTTTAAAAAATAATTTCAATAAAAATAAATTAACTTTAAAAAAAAGTAACCTTTTATTGGGCATACAGCAGGACTTCAATCTATTGGGGGACCAACAATTCCCATCACTATCACTAAGCTGGCTGGGATAGATGGGAAATTGAGTCCAAATAATAGCTGTTTACATGAACTATCCTGGTTATTAAATAGTAGCCATCTATCTGTAAGGAGTCCATGAACTCCCATCACTCATTCCATGCAGCTGGCTGAGGTTGATTACAGCGGCAATGCAGAATCACATGCAAAATACCATGACTACCTCTGTGTGTGTCCAGTGAATGTTTTCTAGTAGCAGAGATCCTAACTCCTACCCTGAGAGCTGGTTGAGGCTAGCACAGTTTGGCCATAACAGGTAATCCAAGTAATACCCTGGTTTTGGGGATTTTAACAAGTCTACAGCTGGTCAGCAGAGACCACCCCTCCTCCCCTCATTTCGCTGGTTAAGGCTAATAGGAGTGACAAAGGTTAGTCAGCAGACACTGAGGCTGATAGGAGTGATACAGGTAAGTCAGCAGACACTGAGGCTGATAGGAGTGATACAGGTTAGTCAGAACTAGTCATCCCTGTAACTATCACTATATTAAAGCTGCCCTTTATCTAGTCAGCAGACTCCCCAGATCCCCTCACTAAGCTCGCTAAGGCTAATAGGAGTGATACAGGTTAGTCATCTGGTAATATCTAATATCCTGTATGTGGGATTGCAGCCAGTCAGCCCCGTGCTGGCTGAGTGTAATAGGAGTGATACAAGTTAGTCCTCTCCCCCTGTGCTGGCTGGGTGTAATAGGAGTGATACAGGGTAATGGCTGGCTGGGTGTAATAGGAGTGATACAGGGTAGTGGCTGGACGTAATAGGAGTGATACAGGGTAGTGGCTGGACGTAATAGGAGTGATACAGGGTAGTGGCTGGACGTAATAGGAGTGATACAGGGTAGTGGCTGGACGTAAGGAGTGATACAGGGTAGTGGCTGGACGTAATAGGAGTGATACAGGGTAGTGGCTGGGTGTAATAGGAGTGATACAGGGTAGTGGCTGGGTGTAATAGGAGTGATACAGGGTAGTGGCTGGCTAGGGTGTAATAGAAGTGATACAGGGTAGTTGCTGGCTAGGGTGTAATAGAAGTGATACAGGGCAGTGGCTGGCTGGGGTGTAATAGGAGTGGTACAGGGCAGTGGCTGGCTGGGGTGTAATAGGAGTGATACAGGGCAGTGGCTGGCTGGGGTGTAATAGGAGTGATACAGGGCAGTGGCTGGCTGGGGTGTAATAGGAGTGATACAGGGCAGTGGCTGGCTGGGGTGTAATAGGAGTGATACAGGGCAGTGGCTGGCTGGGGTGTAATAGGAGTGGTACAGTGCAGTGGCTGGCTGTGCAGTAGGAGTGGTGCAGGGCAGTGGCTGGCTGAGTGCAGTAGGAGCGGTGCAGTGGCTGGCTGAGTGCAGTAGGAGCGGTGCAGTGGCTGGCTGAGTACAGTAGGAGTAGTACAGGGCAGTGGCTGGCTGAGTGCAGTAGGAGTGGTGCAGTAGGAGTGGTGCAGGGCAGTGGCTGGCTGAGTGCAGTAGGAGTGGTGCAGGGCAGTGGCTGGCTGAGTGCAGTAGGAGTGGTACAGGGCAGTGGCTGGCTGAGTGCAGTAGGAGTGGTACAGGGCAGTGGCTGGCTGAGTGCAGTAGGAGTGGTACAGGGGAGTGGCTGGCTGAGTGCAGTAGGAGTGGTACAGGGCAGTGGCTGGCTGAGTGAAGTAGGAGTGGTACAGGGCAGTGGCTGAGTGCAGTAGGAGTGGTGCAGTGGCTGGCTGAGTGCAGTAGGAGTGGTGCAGGGCAGTGGCTGGCTGAGTGCAGTAGGAGCGGTGCAGTGGCTGGCTGAGTGCAGTAGGAGCGGTGCAGTGGCTGGCTGAGTACAGTAGGAGTAGTACAGGGCAGTGGCTGGCTGAGTGCAGTAGGAGTGGTGCAGTAGGAGTGGTGCAGGGCAGTGGCTGGCTGAGTGCAGTAGGAGTGGTGCAGGGCAGTGGCTGGCTGAGTGCAGTAGGAGTGGTGCAGGGCAGTGGCTGGCTGAGTGCAGTAGGAGTGGTGCAGGGCAGTGGCTGGCTGAGTGCAGTAGGAGTGGTGCAGGGCAGTGGCTGGCTGAGTGCAGTAGGAGCGGTGCAGTGGCTGGCTGAGTGCAGTAGGAGCGGTGCAGTGGCTGGCTGAGTACAGTAGGAGTAGTACAGGGCAGTGGCTGGCTGAGTGCAGTAGGAGTGGTGCAGTAGGAGTGGTGCAGGGCAGTGGCTGGCTGAGTGCAGTAGGAGTGGTGCAGGGCAGTGGCTGGCTGAGTGCAGTAGGAGTGGTACAGGGCAGTGGCTGGCTGAGTGCAGTAGGAGTGGTACAGGGCAGTGGCTGGCTGAGTGCAGTAGGAGTGGTGCAGTGGCTGGCTGAGTGCAGTAGGAGCGGTGCAGTGGCTGGCTGTCTTGCTGGGAGTTGCAGTTACCTGGTAGGGGGGCGGTGGCTCGTGGTCCCCGTCGTTGCCGTCGCCGTAGCTGGCCCGGTCTGACTGGGATTCGTGCAGGAGGGAGATATCGTCCGAGGTGGGCGACTTCAGGCAGTTTCCCATGGCGTCCCCCGGGCCCGGGCTCTCTCAGTCTGTCACTCGGTCACTGACTCGGTCACGGTGTCGGTATCTCCTGCCCCCGGGGCCGCTCGCCCTCTCTCACCCGCCGCTCTCCGCCGCCGCCGCCTTCCCAGCCGCCATTACCGAGCGCTGCGCTCACAGACACAGTGTGACGTCACTGCCCGCCGGCAGGCCACGCCCCCTCACTGTGTCTGGGCAAGCTGGGCGGGGGAGGAGCCAGCGGCCGTCATGTGACCCGTGTGCTGCCCTGACCGGCCTGCAGAGGGCAGCACTGAGCGCTCTGCTCACTGAATGCTGACAATGGCTGATTCACTGAATGGTGAGAATTCACAGTGAGCCACACTGGAGACATTCCCTAAACCATGCTTTCAGTTCCACTACTCTGGCCTTCAATGAAAACAGAAAACACTTTAAATTCTCACTTTATTGATAACTCTGAATATTGCTGACTTGGACATTGATTTTCTTTAAATCTGCTACTTTGGACCTAAAATTTAAAATCCTCTTTTAAAGGGACACTATAGGCACCCAGACTTCTTCAGCTTACTGAATCGTCACTCAGCTCATTGTATCGTCACTCAGCTCATTGTATCGTCACTCAGCTCATTGTATCGTCACTCAGCTCACTGAATCGTCACTCAGCTCATTGAATCGTCACTCAGCTCATTGTATCGTCACTCAGCTCATTGAATCTTCACTCAGCTCATTGAACCGTCACTCAGCTCATTGAATCGTCACTCAGCTCATTGTATCGTCACTCAGCTCATTGAACCGTCACTCAGCTCATTGAATCGTCACTCAGCTCATTGTATCGTCACTCAGCTCATTGAACCGTCACTCAGCTCATTGAATCTTCACTCAGCTCATTGAATCGTCACTCAGCTCATTGATTCGTCACTCAGCTCATTGAACCGTCACTCAGCTCATTGAACCGTCACTCAGCTCATTTTATCGCCACTCAGCTCATTGATTCGTCACTCAGCTCATTGAATCGTCACTCAGCTCATTGTATCGTCACTCAGCTCATTGAACCGTCACTCAGCTCATTGTATCGTCACTCAGCTCATTGAACCGTCACTCAGCTCATTGAATCTTCACTCAGCTCATTGAATCGTCACTCAGCTCATTGTATCGTCACTCAGCTCATTGATTCGTCACTCAGCTCATTGTATCGTCACTCAGCTCATTGATTTGTCACTCAGCTCATTGAACCGTCACTCAGCTCATTGAACCGTCACTCAGCTCATTTTATCGTCACTCAGCTCATTGATTCGTCACTCAGCTCATTGAATCGTCACTCAGCTCATTGTATCGTCACTCAGCTCATTGAACCGTCACTCAGCTCATTGTATCGTCACTCAGCTCATTGAACCGTCACTCAGCTCATTGAATCTTCACTCAGCTCATTGAATCGTCACTCAGCTCATTGTATAGTCACTCAGCTCATTGATTCGTCACTCAGCTCATTGATTTGTCACTCAGCTCATTGTATCGTCACTCAGCTCATTGAATCGTCACTCAGCTCATTGAATCGTCACTTATGTCATTGAACCGTCACTCGGCTCATTGAATCGTCACTCAGCTCATTGAATCGTCTGGGTGCAATGTTCCAGGTCCCTTATCCCTACAATAGTAATGATTGCAGTTTTTAATAATCTGCAATAATTACCTTTGTGGGTTACCTCCACCTCTAGTGCCTGTCTACAAGACAGCCACTCAAGGGGCTTCCAGGTCGTTAGGCGACTTTTGGACTCCTAAATGATGCTGCACGTCTTCACGCTATCCATGAGGCCATCCAGCGTCACCCGAAACCCCATAGGACAGGAGTTTTTAACCCCTTCTGCGCTATGTGGAGGGGGGGTGCACTATAAGGAGCTATAATGCCAGGAAACAACTTTGCTATAGTTTCCTTGAAATTATCATGTAGTATATTCACCAAAACGGTGAAAATGCAGGCTCCAGTTTGCCACATTAACCATTTTAGTTATTTTTTTAAATGGTTCCATTTTCAGTACACTGTAATTCACTCATTGTCGAGTTATTTAGTAAAGTTTGAATTGTCATTATTAAAGGGACATTCAGGGGTGTATTTACCCCGAGGTTGACAAGGCATTTACCTTGGGTGGCACTTTCTGGGAGGCGGCAAAAAAAGCCTCCCCCCCAATCGCCCTGGCAAATGCCTTTCCAGCCTCTTGTCCTAAGGAGCCCAGGAGCTGGCTGGCTGGCCACCTCAGGGCCCCCTGAGGCTGGCAGCTGCAGCACTTTGGGGGCAGCGAGGAAGCACTGATCCTCCTGTTCATGGTGATGCCAGAGCCAGAATATTACGTCACTCCGGGCCCGGCATCACTACGCGCGAGGGAGCTGAACAGGAGGATCAGTGCTCCCTCGCTGACTGCAGTGACTGGCCAGCTGCCCAGCAGCCCCACTGGACCCCAGGGAAAGCGAAAAATCCATCCCAGCAATCCCAGGCAGCGAGGCTGGGGGGATTAAATTTTTTTGGGGGGAAAACAATTACAGGGAGTGCAGAATTATTAGGCAAATGAGTATTTTGACCACATCATCCTCTTTATGCATGTTGTCTTACTCCAAGCTGTATAGGCTCGAAAGCCTACTACCAATTAAGCATATTAGGTGATGTGCATCTCTGTAATGAGAAGGGGTGTGGTCTAATGACATCAACACCCTATATCAGGTGTGCATAATTATTAGGCAACTTCCTTTCCTTTGGCAAAATGGGTCAAAAGAAGGACTTGACAGGCTCAGAAAAGTCAAAAATAGTGAGATATCTTGCAGAGGGATGCAGCACTCTTAAAATTGCAAAGCTTCTGAAGCGTGATCATCGAACAATCAAGCGTTTCATTCAAAATAGTCAACAGGGTCGCAAGAAGCGTGTGGAAAAACCAAGGCGCAAAATAACTGCCCATGAACTGAGAAAAGTCAAGCGTGCAGCTGCCACGATGCCACTTGCCACCAGTTTGGCCATATTTCAGAGCTGCAACATCACTGGAGTGCCCAAAAGCACAAGGTGTGCAATACTCAGAGACATGGCCAAGGTAAGAAAGGCTGAAAGACGACCACCACTGAACAAGACACACAAGCTGAAACGTCAAGACTGGGCCAAGAAATATCTCAAGACTGATTTTTCTAAGGTTTTATGGACTGATGAAATGAGAGTGAGTCTTGATGGGCCAGATGGATGGGCCCGTGGCTGGATTGGTAAAGGGCAGAGAGCTCCAGTCCGACTCAGACGCCAGCAAGGTGGAGGTGGAGTACTGGTTTGGGCTGGTATCATCAAAGATGAGCTTGTGGGGCCTTTTCGGGTTGAGGATGGAGTCAAGCTCAACTCCCAGTCCTACTGCCAGTTCCTGGAAGACACCTTCTTCAAGCAGTGGTACAGGAAGAAGTCTGCATCCTTCAAGAAAAACATGATTTTCATGCAGGACAATGCTCCATCACACGCGTCCAAGTACTCCACAGCGTGGCTGGCAAGAAAGGGTATAAAAGAAGAAAATCTAATGACATGGCCTCCTTGTTCACCTGATCTGAACCCCATTGAGAACCTGTGGTCCATCATCAAATGTGAGATTTACAAGGAGGGAAAACAGTACACCTCTCTGAACAGTGTCTGGGAGGCTGTGGTTGCTGCTGCACGCAATGTTGATGGTGAACAGATCAAAACACTGACAGAATCCATGGATGGCAGGCTTTTGAGTGTCCTTGCAAAGAAAGGTGGCTATATTGGTCACTGATTTGTTTTTGTTTTGTTTTTTGAATGTCAGAAATGTATATTTGTGAATGTTGAGATGTTATATTGGTTTCACTGGTAATAATAAATAATTGAAATGGGTATATATTTGTTTTTTGTTAAGTTGCCTAATAATTATGCACAGTAATAGTCACCTGCACACACAGATATCCCCCTAACATAGCTATAACTAAAAACAAACTAAAAACTACTTCCAAAAATATTCAGCTTTGATATTAATGAGTTTTTTGGGTTCATTGAGAACATGGTTGTTGTTCAATAATAAAATTAATCCTCAAAAATACAACTTGCCTAATAATTCTGCACTCCCTGTAAAAAATGAATGTGTGTGTGTGTCTGTTAGTGTGTGTGTTACTATGTGTGTGTCTGTTAATGTGTGTGTGTGTGTGTCAGTGAGTGTGTGTCTGTTAGTGTGTGTGTGTGTGTGTGTCTGTTAGTGTGTGTGTTACTATGTGTATGTCTGTTAATGTGTGTGTGTCAGTGAGTGTGTGTCTGTTAGTGTGTGTGTGTCTGTTAGTGAATGTGTTAGTATGTATGTGTGTGTGTGTGTTAGTGTGTTACTATGTGTGTGTCTGTTAGTGTGTGTGTCTGTTAGTGAATGTGTTAGTATGTGTCTGTTAATGTGTGTGTCTGTTAGTGTGTATGCATATCTGTTAGTGAGTGTGTATGCGTGTGTGCAGAGGCAGCTCTAGACTTTATGAGGCCTTAGGCGAAACTCAGGGTGAGGGTGGGGAGGAGAGGCTGAGGGTGGTGTGGGGTGGTGAGGCTGTGGGGGGTTGATGCTGATGGTGGTGTGGGGAGGAGAGGCTGAGGGTGGTGAGAGGTGGTGAGGCTGAGGGTGGTGGGGGGTGGTGAGGCTGAGTGTGGTGGGGGGATAAGGCTGAGGGTGGTGATGCTGAGGGTGGTGTGGGGAGGAGAGGCTGAGGGTGGTGATGGTGAGGGGGGTGAGAGTGAACCTACCTTAATTTCCCTGGTGGTCCAGTGGGCTCCCTGGTGGTCTGGTGGCGATTGCTTCCGGTGTGCATCTCCGCATAGCTGCAGACCATGTAATCTCGCGAGACCATCGTGGTAACCCGCGGCAACGCTCTGATTGGCCAGTTCTCGCGAGACACGTGGTCTGCAGCTCTGCTCACTGCGGACCTGCAGACCGGTGTCTGCGGTGGCTGGCCGGGAAGCCAGGAGGGGCCTCGCACCCAGCGGCATACCGAGCAAGCCGCCGTGCCCCCTCCTGGTGTCGGGTCCTCAGTCACTGACCGAGGACCTGACACAGTCTGCCCACAGGCGGCCGCGAGGCCCCAGCCAGCGCGAGGCCTTAGGCGGCCGCCTAAACCACCTAATTAGAGAGCCGCCTCTGCGTGTCTGTTAGTGAGTGTGTGTGTCTGTTAGTGAGTGTTAGTGTGTGTGTGTGCGTGTCTGTTAGTAAG